CAGCCGGCTTCCCGGAGGCACGGCCTGCCGGCCGCCCCGGCCCCGCTTCGCCTCGCGGTCTCCCCGCCCTGCCCGCCCAGGCCTCCGGAAGCCACCCCCACCACCGGGTGGAGCGGGAGGCGGGAGTGTCGCCCCGCCCCGCCCTGAGCTGCCCGCGCCCCTGGCTCCGCCCTGTGCCCGGAGGCCCTGGAGCTGCGGGCACCTCCGCTGCGCTCCCGCCTGCGTCCAGCCTGGGCCTGGGCCGGGCGCCTTCCGGTGCCGTCCAGGGGAGGCACCCACCTGCCGCCGAGGCCTCGCCCTGCGTCTGTCCTGGGAGGGGGGGCACCCGTGACTCCCGAATTCCCGAGGCCGGTGGTTGGCCCCCCTCGGAAGGAAGAGTCGGTGTAGCCCGGCCAGCGTGGCTCTGGTTGAGCGCCGACCCATGAACAGCAGGTCACGGTTTGATTCCCGATCAGGGCAGTTGCGGGCTCCATCCCCAGTGTGGGGCGTGCAGGGGCAGCCGGTCCATGACTCTCCCTCATCATTGATGTTTCTGTCTCCCTCTTCCTTCCTCTCTGAAATCAATACAAATATATATAAAAGGAAAGACTAGTTGGGGCGGGACACCTCGGGCCTTTCCAGAATTTGGGGAATTGGGTGTAATGAGCCGGTTCACCTGACAGCTGAGAGCGGGCGGATGGAGGAGCACCCGGGATGCGCCCGGTTGACGGTGGGCAGAGCCTGCAGGAGGGGCTGGGGGAGGGGCTGCGGCTGGGCGCCCACTCACTTGGTGACTGTCCTTGGCGGCCAGGACCCTCATCGCACTGCATCCCTTTAGGAAACGAGGCCAAGCTGGGGGTCTCCGCCGCAGGGGGGGCACCTGAGAGGCCTGGCGGGGGCTTCCGTGCCACCAGGAGGAGGGGCAGTTTGGGCACCTGTGCTCTTGACCCAGTGCCCCCCCCCCCCATGTGGTGACAGTCGGTGAGATGGGATAGTCTCCAGGGGGCAGTGTTCCTGGTCAGAGACCTGAAACCTGTGAAATACCCCAGCGCCCCCAACGGTCAGGACCTTCCCCAGCTTTCTGTTCTCACCTGTCTGCTCTCACCTAGCCAATTGCAAGTCCTTCCCAAAGCTTCCTGGAGCCCGTGCCAGTGGTCAGGAATGGGTCATTTAGTCTCAGTTCTCATAATTTTTAAAAAATGCATTGCCCGGCCAGTGTGGCTCAGTGGTTGAGCATCAACCTATGAACCAGAGGTCCCAGTTCTATTTCTGGTCAGGGCACAGAGGAAGGGAGAGGGAGAGAAAGATAGACACAGCAATGACGAGGGAGAATCATTGATAGGCTGCCTCCTGCGCACCCCCTACTGGGCATGTGCCCTTGACCGGACTCAAACCTGGGACCCTTCAGTCCGAAGGCTGATGCTCTATCCACTGAGCCAAACCGGCTAGGGTGAGGCTATTTCTAGGGAGAGTGGAAGAGAGAGGGAAAGACAGAGAACAACATCGATGTGAGAGAAACACAGCAATTGGTTGCCTCCTGCACGCACTCTGACCAGGGCCCGGGCCAGGGAGGAGCCTACAACCAAGGTACATACATGCCCATGACCAGAATCGAACCCGGGACCCTTTGGTCTGCAGGCCGACACTATCCACTGAGCCAAACCAGCCAGGGCAAAAATATATTTTTTTTAAAAAGAAGAAATGGGACATTTTAGATAATATATTGTAGCAACTCTGGGTACTGGTAACTGTACACCCCCTCCCCTTGTCCCCCCCAGGCTTGTGATTTGCTTGTCTGTTAAGTGATTGGCAGGCTTGTTTTTGTGAAGTGCCCACCCCACTCCCTTGAGGTGTTGTTTGATGTTGTTCTGCAGGGAGGAGCAGTTCCGTGCACTCACTGTCCCCCGGAGGCAGTGATGGGCGGGTCTGTTCATCTCTTTCCCTGGCCACCCAGCAGTTAAGCTCCACTCAGTGCCCGCTGATCACCCTACGTATGCAAGATTGGCGCGGAGTTGATCATTATTATGTGATATTAATAATTATATAGATTATTATCTATAGGAGCTGCAAATGGCAGCTCGTTACTCAATTCTTTTTACTTTGTTTGAATGTTTGTTTTGTATACCATCTCATCAAGTTAAATTTATTTCTTTGTCTGAATGTGAAATAGACCTTCTTTAGAAATAGAAGGTCATCATTAAGTTGAATTAAAATCTTGAAAAGTATATATAGATACTTTTCCCTTAAGAGGTGGATTATGGTTTTACAAACCTGAGTAATGAAAACTTCAAGTATTCCGTGTTCTAAAACAATCCTGTGTAAGATCTTTGTAAAAACACAAAGATTCGTTTATTTCTCACCATCTGAAATGGCATGAATTTCAAGTAAGTTCCTAATCAACATTTATTAGATGTTGTAATTACATATCACAGCCTGGGTTTGTCATTGGAATCAGAACCATTTTTAGGTGATTAATTATTTTTTTTAAAATATATTTTATTGATTTTTTACAGATAGGAAGGGAGAGAGATAGAGAGTTAGAAACATCGATTCAGCTGCCTCTTGCACGCCCCCTACTGGGGATGTGCCCGCAACCCAGGTACATGCCCTTGACCGGAATCGAACCTGGGACCTTTCAGTCCGCAGGCCGACGCTCTATCCACTGAGCCAAACCGGTTTCGGCTGGTGATTAATTATTTTATGAAGAAAAAAAAAAAGCCATGATGGACATTGTTCCCGTTGTATTTCAGGAATCTGTAAGAAGACAAATGTATGCACTGAACTGAGCTGGGTCGAAACTGAGCTTGCAAAAAGAGAACACGGTTGGTGACTGAATTTTCAATATTAGCTGCGATGTTCTAGGGCTGGGATTAGCGCTTGTGATTCAGACAATTAGAGCCCAAAGCCTTTCAAGATTTAAAAGGATTTTAAATGTTTTTTTTCTATAGACCTATTACTGAGAGGTTTTTTTCAACCTCTTGGAAATGTTAATTTCTTAAGAAGATAAATGATTTGTCAGAAACGAGAAGCCAGTTTTGACAGCAGACAATTTATTTGCCTACTTGTATTATTCAGTGCAAGCGATAAAGGTTTGCACAGTTGCAATTGGTCATGCTAACAATAGGAAACAAAGATGTTAAAATTACAAAATCTAAAATGATTTTATCATTCATCTCAATTGCGCTGCCATAATATTGTATTTATTCTAATGCATTAACTACTTTAAAATAAATCATAGTGATTTTCAGTATTTTTAATCTATGGTACTTAAAACTATTCCCAGCATTTTTTTTTATTATTAGTTTGGAATCCAGATTGAGCCCATTTGCCATCTCGGTCCTAAATACTTTCCAAATCTGTGTTCATCCCTCCAGCCCTACTACATGCCCGTGGCTGCCTCTGCTTGCAATACAGTTGTCTTCTGATTCACGCCCTGTCTTCCCTTTTGTCCTTCCAAGTTCACTTGTCACTCAGCTCGCGGCCACTGGGATTTACATGAGGTGGAGACCCACCATCTCTCTCCTCTGCTTGAAGAGTGTCTGTGGGTCCACATCGCTGACAGCGATTTTGCGAGCGTGAGAGCACATGTAGCGGAAAGCCCTGCCCTCCAGGTCGAGAGCCATGGTGGGAGTTAAAGGATGACAGTGTGCGTAACCGTACGTGCAGATGTGGGCCCTGGAACCACATGGCGGCACTTGCTTATCAGAGCCCAGCTGACGAAGAGGCTTATAGTAAAATTTTATTTTATTTTTTAAAATAAATTCTTATTGCTTTCAGAGAGGAAGGGAGAGGGAGAGAGAGAGAGAAACATCAATGATGAGAGAGAATCATAGATCGCCTGCCTCTTCACACCCCCTACTGGGGACCAAGCCTGCAACCTAGGCCTGTGCCCTGACTCGAATTGAACCCGGGACCCTTCAGTCTGCAGGCCGACGCTCTAGCCACTGAGCCAAACTGGCTAGGGCTATAGTAAAATTTTAAAAGATCATTAAACTAAAAACACTAAACATTCTTCACAGGCTTCTGGATGACGATGACAGAGTGGACATCTGCATCCAATTACATTCCTTCCTGAAACCCCACTCAGATGCTAATACAGGAATTTTTAAAAGCATAAACCCACAAAGTCAGGGAGGAGAGGATTGGAGGCCACAGCAACACAATCCCGGAAATTCAAAGCAGAAGATAAGAGGTACCAGATTTCGCTTTTCAAAATAGCTGAATACTCAGTTTTTGGTGGGAAGCCAAGAACCGAAGCAGTTTATACGAACGGGTTAGGAATGTTGGGCATTTTGGAAACGGGATGAAGGGGTAACTGCAGTCAGGACTGGTGGAAAGCTGTTAGGATGATTCATTTCCACACACTCTTTAGCCACTTGTCTGCCCGCCCAGCCCTGGCAACAGGCCAGAGGTTTTTCCCACTGGAGAGTTCAGTGGAGTCTTGCTTGGTCTGAAGGATACCAAGCAGCATTGAAGATGTGGTGGCTAATGGAGTCGGGCATGTTAAGGGAATGTGTGAGTTCTGAATACTTCCAGAAAGGAAGGTAAAGGAGATAAATAGGGAAAAAAAATAAGAAAAATTATAGGGCCGTAACCGGTTTGGCTCAGTGGATGGAGCGTCGGCCTGCGGACTGAAGGGTCCCAGGTTCGATTCCGGTCAAGGGCATGTACCTGGGTTGCGGGCACATTCCCAGTGGGGGGCGTGCAGGAGGCAGCTGATCGATGTTTCTAACTCTCTATCCCTCTCCCTTTCTCTCTGTAAAAAAATCAATAAAATATATTTTTTTTAAAAAGAAAAATTATAGGAGGCCCAATACCCAAATAATAAAAGTTCTAGCCCTAGCTCGTTTGACTCAGTGGACAGAGCATCGACCTGCGGACTGAAGGGTCCCAGGTTCGATTCCGGCCAAGGGCACATGCCCGGGTTGCAGGCTCAATCCCCAGTGTGGGGTGTGCAGGAGGCAGCTGACCAGTGATTCTCTCTCAGCATCGATGTTTCTATCTCTCCCTCTCCCTTCCTCTCTGAAATCAATAAAAATATATATTTTTTAAAAAGTCCTAGAAAGAGAGAGAAAAATGGAAGGGTACAAATCATCAATGAAAATTATTCCATAAAATTTCCCAGCATTGAAGGCCATGAGTTTCTAGCATGAAAAGGGCCCACAATGCCCAGAGAAGATTCTACAAGATTCCAGAGGGAGAAAACCAAGTTACATGAAAATGATCAAAAATGGCTTTGGCCCTAACTGGTTTGGCTCAGTGGATAGAGCATCGGCCTGCGGCCCAGGGACTGAAGGGTTCCAGGTTCGATTCCCGTCAAGGGCATGTACCTTGGTTGCAGGCACATCCCCAGTAGGGGGAGTGCAGGAGGCAGCTGATCAATGTTTCTCTCTCATGGATGTTTCTAACTCTCTCTCTCTCTCCCTTCCTCTCTGTAAAAAATCAATAAAATATTTTTTTTAAAGAAAAAAAGAATGACTTTGGATTCCTCAAAGACAAAAGTAGAGACCAAAAAGCAAAGGAGAAATGTCTTAAAAACTATGAAGGAAAACAAATCTTGTTCTAGAATTCCATACCTAGCCATGCTATCAATGTAGTGGAGGAATAAGGCTTTTTCTGCATTAATGTCTTTAAAACTCTTTCTCTCTCCTACTCCTTTTCAAAAGGAAGCTACCAGAGGACTTGCTCCACCAAAATGAGAGTGGAAACTAGGAAACAGAAGACAGGGGGTAAAGAAAGGAGACTCAACACAGAACAGAGTGGCTAGGCATGTGCCTTGACAGGGCATCCTGGTGACCTCCTGGTTCATGGGTTGATGCTCAACCACTGAGCCACACCGGCCGGGCAGCATTCCCTTTAGATTTATCGTGTTTTCGAGCCTGTCTTTGTAAGTGCTTTTTAAGTGCTTGCTCTAGGCATTATGTTATTTATATGTGGGTTACAATCTGTGCTTACCACACTTTACTAGTTTGTACAAGTATACACACCTGACCTCTGTTTAGGTCACTTTATTCTTTACCTTTCTAATACAATTGCCTTAAATATTTATCTTTTTTTGGAAATTTTTATAGGAGAGTATTTTTGTTTGTTTGTGGGGGTTTTTTTGTTTGTTTTTTTGTTCTGTGTTTTTTGCCAAACTGACAACACATGCTTGGGAGCAAGATCTCAAATGCTCCCCGTTATCTTAAATATTTACTCTACGTGCATTTAGAACCGCGTCAGACTGTGCTATGTCTGTGTTAACCATCGAACATAAGTGGGAAAACTCAAGAGGAGAAGGACATGTCTATTTTTACCCATATTTTGACTCCTCCCCTTGTTTTTTCTTCGTCCCAATGCTCCACGCTCCCTTCTCGGACCCTTTCCTTTCCGCGTGAAGACCTGCCGCCACCCCTTCCTTCAGGGCAGTTCCGCCGGCAGCGAGTTCTGTTTCTTCATCTTGTCGGACTCTTGTCGGTCAGTCGCTCCGGGGCCAGCCGCACATTGCCTTAATTAGCGCTGCTGGGTGAACATCTGGTCCCTGGCAGGGTCAGGCTTCCGCCCTGTGGTTTTCCTGTGTCGCCCTGGCTGCTCTTGGCCTTCTGCATTTCCACATGCATCTTATTTATTTTTTGTTTGATTGTTTTTAGATTTTATTTTTTACTTTTTTTTTGCATTTATTGGGGTGACATTGGTTAATAAAATTATATAGGTTTCAGTGTATAATTCTGTGATGCATCATCTGTATGTCGTATTATGTGGTCACCACCCCAAGTCAAGTCTCCTTCCATCATCATTTATCCCCCCTTTACCCTCTTCTACCTCTGCCCACCCCCTTTCTCTCTGGCCATCACCATACTGTTGTCTTCCACGTGCATTTTAGAATCAGCTTGTTGATTTATACAAGCACCTATTGGGGTCATATTAAATCTATAGATTAGTTTTGGTGGATGTGATGTCTGAACAATATTGGACTTCCAATCCATGAACATAGTCTATAGTTCCATTTACTCGGGGTCTTTCGTTTCTCAATGTTTCATAGTTTTCAGTGTGGAGACCCGTGTACATTTCCCCTTAGCTTTGTTCCTGTTTGGTGCTTTTTGATGTTATTTGAAAAAAATCGTTTCTCAAAATAATGTTGTTTATGTTCATTTCTCATTGGATTGTTGCTGACACATAGAGGCATGGTGGTCGGTTGCCTTGGCTTTGTATCTAGAGACCTTGCTAAGGCACTGTAATGGTTTGTAGATTATTTTGGATTTTTGTGTGCATGATCATGTCAACAATGGCTTTTCCATCCTTATGCATTTTATGTCTTTCCTGTGCCTTTTTGAAGGGGCAGGACACCCAGGTCACTGTTGAATAGTCGGAGTGACAGCTGGCATCTTAGCTTTTGTCCAGTCTCAGGGGGAAAGATTTTAATATTTTGCCATTCAGCATATTTGTTGCTGGCTTAACTTTTTTGGTAGCTGTTCTGTACCAGATGAAAGAAGCTCCCCTTTCCTCCTAATCCCGTGGTCGGCAAACTGCGGCTCTCGAGCCACATGCAGCTTTTTGGCCCCTTGAGTGTGGCTCTTCCACAAAATACCACACGGGCGCGTACGTACAGTGCGATTGAAACTTCGTGGCCCATGCGCAGAAGTCGGTTTTCGGCCTGGGCGAGTCTATTTTGAAGAAGTACTGTTGATATTTGGCTCTGTTGACTAATGAGTTTGCCGACCACTGTCCTAATCTATTGAAAAATATGGACCTAGCTGGTTTGGCTCAGTGGATAGAGCGTCGGCCTGCAGACAGAAGGGTCCCGGGTTCGATTCCGGTCAAGGGCAAGGACCACAGTTGCAGGCTCGATCCCCGGCCCCCAGTAGGAGCATGTGCAGGAGGCAACCAATATCTCACATCGATGTTTTTCTCTCTGTCTCTCCTCCTCCCTCCCAATCTCTCTAAAAATCAATGGAAAAATATCCTCGGGTGAGGATTAGCCAAAAAATAAATAAAATAAAATACGAATGGGTGTTGAATTTTGTCAACCCATTCCCTGCTTCAATTGAAGTCATCGTATTAATTTTCTCTTTCTCCTCCGTTAACGTGAATTACAGTGGCTGCTTTTTACCACCCCCTATTTTTCAATTGAGGAATAATTTATGGGCCGTGAAATACATCGACCTTAGTCTGTATTTAATGGAGTCTGATCATCGCTTGTATCCTTGGAACCCACACCCGAGCGACATACAGACGTTTCCGTTACCCACAACGTCCCCTCGTTGCCCTCCCGGCGTGTGCCCTGACAATAAATCAGCTGTCAATGTCCTCAACCTTCACAAAAACGTGGCCACTCCTTTGGGAGGTGTGCGCCTCGGGCTGTGCCCTTTCCCTGGGAGCACTTCCCGTCCCGCGGGATGGAACCCCACGTCTTTAATCCCCTCCCTCGGTGATGGACACTTGGGCGTTTCCCAGTTTCAAGCTGTTACGGACGCACCTGTTAGAAACATTTTGTACAGATCTTTCCGCAAATACCCCGCGGCAGCAGCACAGGGACATTGTCCCCAACGGACAGTTCCAGTGACAGGCTGCCTGGTCACCTGACCGCCTGGGGGACGCTCGGCACCCTCTGAGAGGGGCGCTGACCAAATAGACGCAGTGGAAACTGGGTGTGTGTGTGCACATGGGGCGGGTGAGGGAAGCTCCCGGCGCCCTGGGACTGTGCAGACCGGCCGCCCTTCCCCTTTCTGTCTGAGTCCCCCCAGGCCCCGGGGCTGCACTTTCAGGGTGCGGTGCGTGCTCAGGCTCACTTCCCTCTTCTCCTCTTCGCGGCTGGTCCCTGGTGAGAGCCCCTCACCTCCGCACCGAACAGATCAAGTCCTTACCTGCCTCCTCCCCCGGGGCTCCCTGAGCCCAGGTGTCCTTGCCAAGCCCCGGCCACTGGCCTCCCTGGCTGCCGATTACTTCAAAGAGATGACCTGGCAGGAAGGGAGGGGGTGCGGCAGCTACTACGCCTGCCCCACCCTGAGCTCGCCCCCCGCCCCCCAGGTTAGACAATAAGGAGAGACGGCTGGCCTGGGTGCTGAGGGGGCAGAGCTCTAGGCAGACAGGCAAGAGCGCTCATGTAGGGACATTGCACAACCCGAGAGGAAGTTCACGCTGAGCACCTGGCTGTCACCCACTGGCAGAGAGAGGGGAGGGCCAGATGCGAACCCTAACCAAGCCGTAGTGAGAGTCCTTTTAAGGAGATTCTATTAGAACATTAAAAAGATGTTCTGGGACCAAAACCAACCCCCGAAAAACCACCATGATTTTTAAATTAAAATATTTTATTAGAGCCCTGACCGGTTTGGCTCAGTGGATAGAGTGTTGGCCTGTGGGCGAGGGGTCCCAGGTTCGATTCCGGTCAGGGGCATGTGCCTTGGTTGCGGGCACATCCCCAGTGGGGGGTGTGCAGGAGGCAGCTGTTCGATGTTTCTGTCTCATCGATGTTTCTGACTCTCTGTCCCTCTCCCTTACTCTCTGTAAAAAATCAATAAAATATATAAAAATATATATTTTATTAGATAATATGAAAAAAAGAGGATAGTCTTTGTTGAAATCCAAATAATTGGCACACAGGGCAAGAAAAAGCAAGTTAAACAGATGCAAATTATTAAACAAACGAGACTTGGAGGACAGACCTCAGGGAGAAAGCGGAGAAAACATGCCCGGACAGGGAGGTGAGGAAGGGTTACTCATCTGACCGCAGGAGAGCCGGGTCTGCGATCCGATCTGAGGGGCGGGCCGCCAGGCAGGCGGCACCGAGGCCTCCAGGCCTTTCTCTGCTCCTGTCCTGGGCGGGTACTCACAGGAGGGGGAGCATTAGCCCGACACTCACCCCTCGTTTCCAGCCCGGCGGCTGGCGGACAAGAGGCAGGAAGGAGGTGCTGTGAGCTGCGTGGGTGCGCGTGTTTCCTAACACCCGGCGAAAGGGGACCGTGACCCGCGTGTCCTGCACCCAGCCCTGGGATAAAGGGCACTGCGCGGGTGGTCTCAGTGCTGCCCCCGCAGAAACCCACCTGCCCCCCACACCCCCGCTGGCCAGGCCTCTTCCCCACTCGCATCCTGTCGCCTGGATGTGATTACCACTTCCTTCGCCCCTCACTCTGGGGTACTGAGCACCATGGCCGTTTGTGACGCCCCCAAAACAACCAGCGAAGTTGGGGAGGAATTCTCCGCTCACGAGGGGCGCGGCCGTGCCCGGCGTTTGCCCGTCACTCAGGTGCGGTGCCTGCGTGCGTGGTGGGCACGGGGCCTGCTGTTCCCTCAGGCCAGCTCAGCGTGTGGAGGAAGCTCGGTTGCGCCTCGTCCTGGGTGTGCCGTTT